AAGTAGTTAATGCCATAGCTATATAGGCTTATGTGTGTAACATGCAAGGTGGAGTTTGACACGATAGATTAGATAGATAGATAGATAATAGATAGATAGATAGATAGATAGATAGATAGATTAAGATTAGATAAGATAGATAGATAGACTAGATAGATAGATGATACTTTATTTGATTCCCTGAAGGAATATTATAATTGTTATAGCGGCTGATTAAGGTGCACCCCCCTTTTTTTTTATTAGAAGTCGGGTTTGCAGTTGGGGATGACATGAGGCCTGTTGCTGAAGCTGCTGCTTTAGCTTGTCCAGTGTGTATGATAGAAGGGGCGTGGGGAGGGATTGTCCATGGATTACCAGAGGTTTTGCCAGCATTCCTCTCCTGTCCACCACGCCCCTCCGGTGACAAGCTTAGGCCCAAACAGGACCTCGACCTTGCTTAATGAGTTTGTTCAATCTGTTGGGGTCCTTTGCCTTGATGCCTGCACCCCAGGACACCGCAGCAAGAAGACTGGTGCCGCCGACAACACGACCTGATCAAAACATCTGCAACAGTCCTGACAGACATTTGGAGGGGACCTGAGCCTCTCAGAAGTAAAGCCGGCTAGGGCCCTTCTGTAGCATAGGCCTCTGAGTTAAGTTGGAGCCAGTCCAGTGGTTGTTGGTCCAGTGTGAACCGACAGTACTTATACGCCGGACACCATATCCACATCTGTCCCGACCGATGCTTGACAGCGAGGCCGAAGGGCAAGGGGCTGTTCCTCCTGAAGTCCACCACCATATCCTTTGTCTTTGCCCCACATTCAGCTGCAGGTGGTTTTCCCCACACCACTTCACAAAGCGAATCGACCAGCGTCCCTGGTTACTCAGCCTCCCTTATGCCTTCCAGACACCCTACACACTAGCCGTTCATCACGAGTATTTCTGCCGATGACACGACTCAGTGCAGTACTTAAAAGTCTGCAGTGCCGTACCCGGTGTTGAAACAGGAAGGGAGACATTACATGTTTGCCTGGGGAGGGCCCCATGATGTTACGTAATCAGGCGCAGTCAGGGACACAGCAGTTCTCCTGTAATCTACACGTCTAGCCCGTCCAGATAGTGATCGACCGCATGTGATCGAGGCGGAGCACCCCACCTGCATTTCTCCAGTTTGGCCTTCAGCCAGTCTGGGGCTGCGAATGGTGCTTGAAGGCGTCTGGAAGAAGTCAGGAGATAACACAGTTGATTCGGCGTGAGGCTGTCAGAGGTCCGTGGTCCAAGGGAGTGAAGCTGAGGCCTTCTTGCACACCAGGTAGATGATTGCAAGCAGCAGCAGCCCCAGCACAGGGCTGATCATGGCGTGTGGTCGGGTGTGCGGGATGCGAGGTCGATACAGAGAGAGTGGTCTGCTGCAGAGTTGGTAGGGGGCTTCGTGGGAGTGTCCTAGGTGTTGTTGCTCAGAGGAGCAGGTCGTAGGGACTGTGCCACGGGGAGGTGGGGGGATGCTTGAAAGTTAAATCCTGTTGAACACTGGTTCAACCTCGTTGGACTAGGTTGTTGATTCCCCTACAGCTTCACCCCACCTTCGTGTCGCCCGTATAAACAAGTCCGGGTGATCTCTCTTATCCTACCACACATCGCCTGGTGTTGTCTGTTGCTCAGTTGGGTGTCGCCTGGCGAGGTATTTCTCCTGTAAATGTTCATCCCCCCAATGGCTGTGTTTTAGCTCTCCTGCCGGTGTACACGCCTTGGAGTTGCTGCTCGAGTCCCGCTGGATGCTAGACCCTGCCATCTTCGTCATTGGAGAAGGGCCTTCAGGTTTGCTGGTTACCCGGAACGGTTGTTGTGTTGGGTAGCATTGGACCCCAATGGAGGGGATGGGTTGTCAATGAGACCAATGTACTCATGAGGGCACAGTCATGTAAGGCCACCAATGGCTTCTGCGGGTATCTGCTCGTGTAGCACGTCCTTGCCGATGAAACACATGATACTACAGCTCCCTGGTACTCCCTCTTTGTGGTCTGGGTGAGACGCTTTCCAGCGTTTATCACTATTATGTTAGCCAGTGACCTTACCGTTTCCAGGTGATTATTGCAGGATGTAGGGTTTAAAACCTCCTCTTCTTCATCCTCCCGTATAACCCCTCCGCTCTGCAGCCTCGCATCTCACTCTCAGCTCCTCCAGTATGGAGGGTCTCTCTACATCAGGATGCTTTAGGGTGGCCTCAGGGCGATCACCTCTGGGTCGCGGGTGTAACCACATGCGACTCCCACGTCGCCATGGAGACGCAGTGCAAACACAAATAAAAAAGTGCTTTTTTTTCACGTAAATTGTGAAGCAAAGAGTAGGTAGATGAAAGTCAGAAAACTGTTAAAAGAATCAGGACAACAAGAACAACAGGCTGAAAAACACACGAAAAACTACCAAGCCAGGCATTATAGGAGACTGCAATAACAGGGCTGCCGTTGTGAACAGGCGCGCATTCCAGGAACCAAAATAGATAATAACATAAAATCAATATTGTAAGAACTAGCCTTAATAATAAAGATACATTAATCACGAGAGGATTAATAGAAGACACTCGTAAATGGGCACCACCTCCCGTGAATATCTAGCTGATGCCAATAACTCCGGAGGAAATTAAACCCAGCACGATCTAAGTCGCAAACATCAAATTTACTTCAGGAAATTGGGTGTAATGGCTGAAGTAGAGAGGTATTCAATATTGCAATCTCATGTTCTTAAAGCACGTGAATCTCTTTACCCACGATTCCTTCGATTTCCCAGGCATAAAACTTAAACTCGCACATGTCGAAGCATTTTTATGGGATTTGATTTATTGGAAGGGAGCGGAGGGTAATATGTGAAAGGAGTAAGCAGTAGGACACAATGTGGAGCAGAGAGCAGAACACGACCAAAAAATACGGTGGCAGGTTAAGATGACAGTGGTACCTTCGCCCCCCCTACTTAGGTGAGTTTCAGATGGGGGCATTTGTGATCGGCTGGCAAGTGAGTTTAAAATAATACGAATGTGACTTTTAATACTCGATGCGCCTAAAGAAGTCCCCAGACAATGTTCACCGCGGCATTCTCTTGAAACCGTGATGATGGAGAATTAAAGCTTCAGACAGACGACACAGAGGGCGTGTTCATTGTGGTGTGAAACCCAGTGTTATGCAGGTGTCAGGCCTAGGTTTGGCGTCGTAAGGGAGTGAGTTGAAGGATTCCGGCATCTTTATCTTTTCCAGGCGCCCTGCTCGACTGCAGGGCTGCTTCGGTCCAGAACCCCCCGGTCCAAGAAACGGTATCACCACCGGTACCCAATTCTCTTTCCAGGAAGGGTCCAGTGTTGGCATGTGCACGTCGTGTTCGTGGGGCAGATGGCTGGAGATATAAATGTTTTTGTCCAGCAGGAAAAACTCTTTGAGCAGTGGATTTTGCTGTGACGTTCCACTTTTTTGCGTATGGACAAGCTTTTAAACTTTAATGACTGGTTTGGTTCCTTCAGCTTTACATTCCAGACCTAACTCAGTCCTCTCGGGGGTTTGAACACAACTGGCGATGAAACGCTAGGTCTGTGCGGACTGTCCTTTAGTTAATAAATTCAAAGAGTTAGATTATAAATTCACCTTCTGCGTGAATAAGGCGCATACCTGGCCGTATTACTTTCAGAATTAAAAGTACTTGGAGAAATCGTACTTCAGCGCGCAAGTTGTTGGGGAGACGTAAACCCTAATATTTATAAAGTAAAAATGAAGAGAACAAGGCGAAATAAGCGAACGTAAAGAGAAGAAGAGAAGGACAACGAGAGAGAAGAGAAGAGAAGTAAAAAAGTGGCCAGAGCTGGTATCCCGTTATGATGAATCTCTCATTCTAGACGGCGGGTACTGCGGACGAGGAGGCCTGGACCTGTCGCGGTCACATTCCTTCTTGGTGATACTTCCTGTGTGACAATGACGATACTTTTACTATATACATCTTTTTTAAAGTTTCTGATCGTCAAATTCAGCCGTTCACAACATCTTGCCACCATGACTTCTTAATACGTCTTTACATGTTGTTTGATCACTGAAACACCTATTATAAGAACGCAAACGTCCGTTTGGAAATCCTTACGTGTTATACCAGATCTAACAAAAAGTGGCACTGTGGCTCCATCAAACATTACGCAGCATTTAGACATGATTTTTTTTAACTCAGTTAATTCTTACAGACAGAACATCAGACAACTTACATTTGCGTTCTTCCTTAGTGCTGGAGTCGTTAATATGGTTGTAATTAGGAGAGATCGAACTATCATCCTTCAGTACCTCTTAGGACTAAACGCAATATCAGTGTAATGTTGCTTCGCGTAGACTGAGCACAAGCTTATCAGTATTGAATGTACAGCCCACTTGGCCCCTCGTAAATCACGTTTCAAAGACCGGACAGCATGACGTATGCCAGATGTGAGATCAAAGGAGTTTCTCTCTGGAGGTAGGAACTGTCAGCACAATGGGGTGTGAACACATTCGACGGACATCTATCTTAGCTTTACAGTCAAACATCGAGGCACTAATT